TTTAGGCCACGTCCGCCATCTTGGATTTTCGAATTTTGAAAATTCGACTAAAAATTCAAGTTCCCCGTTGAAAGATACCTCCGTGTACCATGTTTCACTTAAATCGGTCGGAAAGAGCGCCGACAGGGCTTAAACAAACAAGTCTCAGTTGATTAGGCGCTGCGATAGCATTTTAGGTCATGTTCGTCATCTTGGATTCTCGAATTTTGAAAATTCCACTAAAAATTCGAGTTCCCCATTGAAAAATACTCCCGGACACCAAGTTTCACATAAATCGGTAGAAAAGAGCGCCCACAGGACTTAAACAAGCAAGTCTCAGTTGTAACAGTTTTCCACTCTGTCCCATTAAACTGGGACACTGGGACTGGATGGAAACAAATGGGACAGGATGGAAATAAGCTGTTTTTTAAGCTTATCTCTAACAGTAAAGACAATTTTGGTGTTTTTTTTCACGGAATATTTAGTAGCACATCCTAGAGTATCGGAATAAGAAAACATTTTCCCTAACGCACACTTCGAAAGTATTTTACGAGCTGATATTAGTGTGTGTGTGCATGCTTGACGCCCTGCCCTAGTGAAAATATTACCTTGCGGTGAGCTAACCATCACCTTGCGGCAAGGTATCGGCCTATCCACTCTCACCGAGCCCTATCCGAGGCCTCGCCGGGTCAGTTCGTGGAACTTAACGACTGGGAATAATTATGCATGGCAACGTTGGAGACGAAAATCGTACCCAAACACGGGGTATTTCCCGATGCTGTGTCGCCTTTTTCAAGCCCTGCGTCTGGATTTGGGTCTACAGTGTTGTCATACGGTTTTATTCCCGGTCGTCGAGTTCCTTGAACTGGCTCGGCGAGGGCTCGGATAGGGCTCGGAGAGGATGGCAAGGCCGATACCTTGCCGCAAGGTGATGGTTAGCTCACCGCAAGGTAATATTTACGCTAGGGTGTTAGTTATCGTGTATATCATTTTGTTCGGCATCGTTAGTGGCGTTATTCTCGCACAAAAATTTGCGAATTTCAGAATTTTTGCCATCTGCGACGTGTGAACTATTCAATTGAAACAAAAAAAAATCGTTTTTGGAAGAACCTTAACGTTATGGCAATCATTTAGAGCTTATTATATCGTTGCCATGTCTCTCCTGACTGTTGCTCGGGACAATGATTCTAGCGCGTGAAAAAGTTATTGATGGAGCAAAAAAGAAATTGACATACTTTTTTTCTCAAATTCAAAAGCACTACCTATCATCTCCGATAAAGTTTTCTTAGATAATCACTCTAGTTATGCTGCAACATCGATTTAAAGTCAAGAACCAGGCACGGGGAACACGCAAATTTGGGACAAACGTAGGCAATTTGCACCTTCAAAGTTCTCCTAAACTTTTATTTCAGTCCAAATAAAGTGGGACATAGCATGTAAAAGTCAACAATAGTGTGGAAAATGAGAAAAAAATATGATCTGCCCATGTTTCTCAGATTATGACGATTAAAACAGCTGACTGATGTTTTCAATGTGGATAGTAGCGAACGCTGCTTTGTTCAGACGCCAAAATTCGTCGTTGGCGTTTGCAAACCGAAAGTAAGCGACCGTCAACTTAGCTGACAACACCTCTACGCCATTATGAACATGGACATTTCTAAGCAGTGCGCAATTTTTAGAGAATTTTCGTCCAAACCGCGACATCATATCTCAATTTTAATGCCCTTTAAGGAACACGTTTTCATCCTGGCAACGCTGTAGCGCGCAGGAAAACTTTTTTGGTGAACTTACCGTTGCCGGAAAAAGGGAACAGCAGGTTCTTGTTATAGGAAACAGCATATCCAACCCCGGGAAAAATCCATGAGGGGGATAAAATCACCGATTTTGAATAACCCTCTTTGCTTGGTATATATTTTGTGGGATGTCACTGCATTTTGGGCAACGAATATTTATATTTTTAACTTTGTGGTTCATCTTTACAAGGAAACGTTATTGGTGGAATATTATGGGGTTTTCGCTGAAGTTCTCGATGAATAAAGAGAAAGGAACGTCCAGATGTTTGAAGATAAAGTTTTCAATTGGAGAGATGCTTGAAAACTTTACGGATGGTTGATAGGTTTTTGCTTAGCACTGAAAGTTGTGTAAAAAATGCGACGTGGCTATTTAACTCTTTCAAAGTAAAATTTTACATGCATATATAGGCGTCCAACATTATTGTTGTCACTCACAAATGTCAGGTAGTGCATAGGTAGTAAAAAAAAATCTAAAATCGGAGAGACCGTCTTTGTAATTCAGTTTGAACACTGAATGGCGAAAAAATAGTAAATTTTAAAAAACCCTAAATTGCGGACATTTAAATAATTTTTAACTCAGTGTCAATGGCATACCTATTTAGAATCTAAAAAAAAAATTATTTTAGAAACACTTTTTAAAAGTTTCATAGGTCAATACAGATTCTCGTCATTGACGATCAAAGAGAGGGAAGTCCAGAAAATGAGAAACGTTTAAAACGGGCTTATTCACATACCTTTCGCTGAAATTCACCCCATCTCTAGGGGTCGATATCTCGCGAACAGGGTGTCGGAGGGGGACAACCCTTCAAATTTGTCTCTTAGAATGATGTCAGGACCTTGTATACCAATTTTCAGTCAAATCGGAGCGGGTCGGGTTCCTAGCAGCCTGGCACAGTTGACATGGAATGACCCTTTTAGTTTATTGTTTCCGCCGCTTGAAATTTCACTGCTATCTTCTTCTATCATAGAACTCCCCTGAAAATATTAAATCTAAAATTCAGCAGTCATAGTAGGTACTATGGTTTTTCCCCAAATGTTGGGTGGGAGTGTATGGTTCCGAATCACAATTTAAAGTAGTTTAATCAATTAAACTACTTTAAATTGTGATTTTTACCTAAATACCTAATTTTCAACTCATCTTCTAAGTAACCCGCTGTGTGAAAGTAGTTTGCCCCCTTCTCCTGCTAAATCTGAATTTTCTGCAATGCAACAAAGCGCTTGCTGGGTGTTTTTTTATAAAGATTTTATGACACTGAATCAAACTGTTCCCTCAAAATTAAATTTTTTGAGCTGTGACATTAATTTCATTCACTGCACATTGCAATACCCCCCCCCCTCAAACCACCCCCTTAAACAGGTTTCTCTTATTATCGGACCATAAACAAGTAGCACACTTTATACCAATTAACTCATAACTGAGAGGTGGACAAGGCGCATAAGAGCAGTTTTTTTAAAAAAATTGAGATATTAATGATATCAATTAAAACTAGCCTTAATACATACAGGGTGTCCCAAAAGTCCCTTCCACCCCCTCTAAAATTTTAGCTAATTAATATTTTGAAACGAAACTTTGGGGATGTTCATCGATCAATGTAAGCTACTTTTGGGGGCCCCCAAAATTTTCGGAGCCCCCCATGGGGAGGGGCTGCGGACCCCAACTTTTTTTTTTCAAATGGCAACCCCTATCTTGTGATACCTCATTCGAAAGAGCATAAAAAACTAAGAATTTTGGCGCAAACCGCAGATCAATATCTTAATTTTTGACCAAGTTATGATAGGTCAAAGGTCAAATTTGACCTATTTTCAAAAAATCATAACTCCGGTTCAAATTATCGTAATGAAAAAAATAAAACGGGAAAATTTACCACATTGTAAGCACTTTTAAGGAAAAATCACAGAAATTACTTCAAACTAATTTTAAGGGGGGTTTCGGACCCCCAAATACGCCAATTCAAGGGTCATTCAATTTTCCCGCGAAATAAGCCAATTTCCCCCAGATTTGCCTCCACACTAGTTCAGTAAGGTCAAAATCAGTTCAACATTACGTTGGCAAGTCCCCAAATTTCGGGAAAAGTTAAAAAAACGAAATTAAAGGTGATTAAATTTGACCGCATAAATTTTTTTTTTAACTTTTCCCGAAATTTGGGGACTTGCCAACGTAATGTTGAACTGATTTTGACCTTACTGAACTAGTGTGGAGGCAAATCTGGGGGAAATTGGCTTATTTCGCGGGAAAATTGAATGACCTTTGAATTGGCGTATTTGGGGGTCCGAAACCCCCCTTAAAATTAGTTTGAAGTAATTTCTGTGATTTTTCCTTAAAAGTGCTTACAATGTGGTAAATTTTCCCGTTTTATTTTTTTCATTACGATAATTTGAACCGGAGTTATAATTTTTTGAAAATAGGTCAAATTGGACCTTTGACCTATCATAACTTGGTCAAAAATTAAGATATTGATCTGCGGTTTGCGCCAAAATTCTTAGTTTTTTATGCTCTTTCGAATGAGGTATCACAAGATAGGGGTTGCCATTTGAAAAAAAAAAGTTGGGGTTCGCAGCCCCTCCCCACGGGGGGCCCCGAAAATTTTGGGGGCCCCCAAAAGTAGCTTACATTGATCGATGAACATCCCCAAAGTTTCGTTTCAAAATATTAATTAGCTAAAATTTTAGAGGGGGTGGAAGGGACTTTTGGGACACCCTGTATTCTGTTAAGAATTTGCTCCAAAAGTCAAAGTTTTAAGCATCAAAAAGTCAGTTTGAACTTTCTTGATACCATAAGAATTCATATAATTTCGAAACTTCCACCACATATTTCTCTAAATAGCAAAAACTGCACTTGTGAGCATTGTCATCCAAGCCCCTCAATTGAAGCGTTGGGTGAAGAAAGGGCATTTATTGGTTGCGGTGTCTCAAATTCTTAACTGCTCATTTGTATTTTAGAGAAAAAATTTTTGGAAATTTTTTGTTTTCAGCACTGTACAATCATGAAGAAAATTCAGTAAAAGTTTCAACGGATTCCATACGAATTGCTTCATGTATAATGAATGAAACATTAGCGAAGATTCTGAGACGCCGCAACTAAGAAATGTCCTGATTGCACCCAGCACTTCAATTCAATCCATATGTGTTGCCACAATGTTCAACAACTATTTTTTCTTTTCTGAGGAACGTAGCTCCAAATAGAGTTATTTCTCAACATTATTCAATAAGTATAATAATTACACCAAATAACGGAAGAAAAGAATATTTTTTTATTCATAAAGCACATCGACCACAATTTTCATTTGTGTGTAAAATCTAACTAGGTTAGAGGGGGAGACGCTCTGAAAAACAGATGTTACAAATTTACGCTAAAACCTATATTAAAAATCAGCACTACCCCTCACCTATTTATTCTCCACATTAGAATCTTTTCATTCTCCAAATACAGAAAATAAACAGATGCTCAGCAGTGCCCAATTTCAATAAAAAGTTATTAGCGTAAATATGAAAAATTCTCCCGCTTTGAGAAATAAACTTTTTCCTCTAGATGTTACACAGTTGCCCAATCTTGCCAACAGGAGGCATTTTTTGCAGAAAATGTCAAACTACAAAGCTTTACTATTAACCAAAGAATCCTGTCTTGAATTCCTAGTCCTCCACCTTAGTATACCTTGTCTAATGTATTAAATTCAACAGATACAGAGGAACACTGTAGGATTCCCCGATTAGGAAAGTACTTATGGACTCATCATTTGAGCAGGGTCTTAGGGCCCAAAAAAACAGCCAACATTCCCTAAGTTTTCGTATGAAAAATCTGGAAATTAATGAAAATAATAAATTTTATTGATCATTTATCTTGTGCAGGTCTTCAAACGAATCTTAATAATTATAAACCTATGTTTTAAATAACTTTTCTGGTTTCTCCCAAACAAGTTTTGATTCCAATGGAAAAATGAAATCACTGGCGATCACGTGGGCCTTGACTTATTTGCAGAGGTATCGACACCTCTGTCAGTCATGGGCTGATAGCTGAGAGCACTGGGCAAAATTCTAGTAAGCTGGTTAATATTACGAGTAATTTTGGACAGGGTTGTCTCCTTCAAAATTCTCAATTACCCTTTTAGTCCAAGATCAACCCACCTCATGAGTGAAGTCCAGATGGACTTTCAGACTTGCAGACACGACCGTACTTCCCCAATCAAGATATTCTAGCACAGACCATATTGTTGACCCAATCCTGGATGGAGTGATAAAATATTTTTTAGCCTTTGCGATAGGTGACATTTAAGATGTTCTTCAAATTATGTCGGGGAAAAAAGTAATAATAAAAAGTTGGCTCAGTAGGTAGGTAGGGAGGTTTTGGTCGGTCTAGTAAAATTGACAGAAGGAAGGCATTATGCAAGCTACATACACATAGCATCTAAGTACATGGAGCTCCAGAGACTTCTCTAAAAATGGTACTTGACAAAGCTAGTCCTGAACTATTCTGCAACCTATGTAAAACACTTTTCATCAAAGGCAAATGTACACAAGTTTGAAGTAGTCTCTTAATTTGACACACCAACAGATTGTTTAAAATTTTTTGCTATTTCTTTTATGGTTGGAATTTTACTTCTCAGGTCCTTGAGAATAATTTGATGAGTTTCATCCTCCGCTTTAATGGTCAAAAACTTCAAGACTGAGTCTGAAAAAAAAAAATAAAAAGATAATTATAAAATGATGCCACATTTTGACCTGACTAGATGAAAAGAAAGAGAGAAGGGAGGAGACAACAAAAAAGCAAAGAACCACATTTGCAAACAAAAGTTTAGGTTTTTCAATCCTCATTGGGAAGAAAAATTGAGTTTGGTCTGACTGTGGTCAAACAAATTTAATTTGACATAGGAGTACGTACCTATTTACAATTAATTTTATGAACAAAAACACCTAACACAAGACACACACCAAATACATCAAACAAGAAAATTAAGTATTGTTGTGGGAATGCGTAAGACCTTACAGGCTTACTTTCCCACATTCAGCTCCATGGATGAGGCGTGCTTTGCGTCATGGCTTTTCGTGAGGAATCACGAATTTCCAGGGTCAGCGATAGAGATAGGTGCAGCGGAGGTTGGCGCATGTTTATGTCTAAACGAGGAGTTGCCGTGTCGCTGAAGCACACGCGTTTTGACATAAAGAGATTCGGTGACCGCATGGGCGAGATCAGTCTGTAGGAATAGATTCCACGTTGATCCGGTCAGCCCCCGTGAGTTTGTGTATTAGTTATAGAGATAGATTTATGAGTTTTATTGTGACATATATACTTGTATTATTCGAAGTTTGCTGGTGTTTTGTGTGTTTTCGATCTACATTCCCTACCCCCCCCCCCAANAAACTGCATTGCAAATAATTTAAAATGATAACAGCGTAGTCAATAATGATGTTAGTAGAAAATATTTTGGACAGACGCGTTTTGGGCTCCTGTCCATCCTTGAAGCCAAAAATCAAGAGTGGCGGTAGCCACCCCCGGTCGAGGAGAATGACGTCCTACTAAAGTCCCGATAACAAACGGGTGGCCGACACTCTTAGTCACAGGCAACTCCCTTAATCTGAAAATTGATTCGGTTGGAACTCGACTGCAGCCCAAACGACGGCACGGATTCCTACGATCTTGGTGTCTACGGACGCATCTCAATTAGGACTACAAAATGGAAGAGTTTCATTAAGATCCATTGAGTTTTCAAAAAGTTATAAGCACTTAATGACCCAAAACAAGGAAAATTTTACTTTTTACTTTGCCAGGAAATTTGAATTTCAAGAATTCAGGGTCCTGAGAAAGTCACTGGAACTCCGCGATAACGGTAAACCTTAGACCCATAAAAGTGGGTACCTAAAGAATCGTCATGTTACCGTGTCCATGGGTTTTTACAGTTTTGTAACATTCCTAGTGATCTTAAAGAGAAATTACGGAAAATACGACTAAACTGCCCGTCATGACCATCTTTAAAAACAGATTTCTTGCTTACCCGGCCGCAAATTGTAATGGAGCCTGTATAAAGGGCACTCCGTGAAGATGTGAGGATTTCATTTTGCCACATAAAAAAGCGCTTTATCTCACGGATAATCCAGCATCCGCTTACATCCTTCAAAATTTTAGCTATAATTTTTGAATTTAGAAAAAAACCAGTAATATAATGGTTCAACGCCATTGGTTCATTCTGTTCAGGTTCGTCCGAGTTTCGGGAACGAAATTCCTGTCGTCGTTATCAACCTCCATCTACTGTATTTATTTGTGAATAATGAACAGATTTAATTTAAAAGTTCAATTCATTTTAGATCCTAACTAATATTACACACTTATATTATTACGCCCAATTTTATCCCGATACACTACTTCATCGGTTTCTTAAAAATCTCAAGTGATTTCTGGTCGGTCGTTACCAACCTCTTTAACTAGTTGTGAATAGATTTACCTAATTTGGATAAGAGTTTAATTCTTTGTAGATGCTAACTACTATATGTACATACTCTTATTATTACGTCTCACGTGTTCTACTGGAGCCCGATATACCTTAATTTCTCTTAAAATGTTCAAGTGATATCTTTATTTTATGGAACGATATGTGACAAAATTTTAAGTGAGGTTATGTCGTCATGTTTATGTCAGTACCTGACTGAAGCGATAGACGTAATTCCGGTAAATTACGTCAAAGAAATTACACCGAAATTGTGCCAAACTCTCCAAAGGAAGCAGCATTTACATCACAGAATGTATTCTCACTACTAAAGTCTAAAAATTACTGGAATATGAGCCTCGGTCTTCACATGCGACTGTCACTGAACTTCGACCAAAATTTATTCGCTCTATATCTTGCCATCAACCTATGTGCTCTGGAGTGATTATGCTTCTCTGAAGTGTATGTTATTTACATTAAGAACATGTTTCCTTCATTATTTATCTTGGAATCCTCCTATCTCTTCTACCGTTCTTGTTACGCGCGGCTTGCGTACCTGAGTGTGTGAGGCACAATTCCATCCCTTTTCGGAACAGTTCAATCATAGGTCAACTTAATGTCACATAATCGAAGGTCTTTGACTGTGAGCATTTGCTCAAATTGGTTTCTTCTGAGTCTCTTTGATTTTGCGTCAGGAGTTGTTAGAAACTTCATTTTGCCCAGCAATGTATAACAAGGTCTTTAATGAAAGGTGTGTACCCGTTTTATTCTCATAATTTCATAAGTTGATGATAAAAATACAATGAAGGCTTCATTTTCTTGCATAAATTGCTGTGTGAAATGGGTGCGTCCATTTCTCCTCTATTTAAAAGAGTAACAGAATGTATCGCTCATCTGTTTAGAGGACTTCAGTATTAAGATACGTAGGTATGTGTTCCTGCCTAGTTCCTTTGGAATAAGTGTGATCGTGTTAATCATGGCTAAATACAATTAGACCCCATGGTATCAATGTAATCATAAATGCCTCTCCACTCATACCAACTAGGTGCGGCATATCCTCCGATCAAGAGATGGAGATTGCCGTCTCAGTAGGTACAAGGGTGAGCCTACGAACCCAGGTATGGTGACCGTAAGTACCGCTTTGGCCTCTCACATTCAGATGAGCCTTTTTCTCTAATGAACTCATGCCAATACTTAGATCTCTAGACTTATTTACTGCATTAAGAACACATAAGATAATAAGTCAAATAGGTCAAGTCAGTTGTCAATCTTTATACCAAGTGCAGGTACCAACATAATTTTTTGTTATTGGGTGGACAAAAGACACTAGCTGCAACGCAGCGATTCATAGATTTAATTGTTCCCAACCGATCCGTGATTTGGCGTCAATCCTTTGGATAAAAAGATCACGATAGTTCCATTATTATTAATTAAAAACATCATTTAATTTGACAACAGTTCTGTGTGCGTTTCCCACTACTGTCTGAAGTACAGTAAAAATAAGGACTCAATTTTGTGGTGGCCACATTCTTTATGATGCAGTTACTTCTCAACCAATGAACACCAGATTCGTTTCATACTTAGAGTTTCGCGTTGTAGGATCAATTTTTGATTGGCTCTTGCATTTCGGTTAAGGCGAAAGACTGAGTATGAACCATGGAACGAAAGGTACAACAAGAAACAAACGGAATGAGAGAGGGAATGTAAGTAGGAAATGGTAGGAAAGCAACAAGAGCAAAATAAACAAAACCTCGAAAATAAGAAGGCAAATTTTTATCCAGACGAATTTCTACTTCAATCTTAAAATACATTCTCCTCAAAACCCTTGTTCTTTTAGTGCATTTTCACGTTATTCTTAGTGTGCCATCCTGTAAAGCCCTATCTGAAAGTAAATAAATTCGCGGGCACTTTTTAAACTTTACTTTGCTGCAATTGGTCCGAGTTCTCAGGATGTGGGAAGTTGCAAGAATCAGAATCAGCAATGGTGCGCTCTCTCGCGGCTAACGCCGAAACCCTAGTTTTCACTTTCACTTTTCTCCACCAGTAGCGCTCTACTTTCGTTCCGAATGCTTCGGTTTTGCTAGCTCTTCGTATAGCCAGACCTTTAGGTACTTATTCACCCAAAAACGATCTGATATAAACTACAAAAACCCTCAAAAACATTTTTCGGGCAAAAAATCCGGTCGAGGAAATTGACGTGTCACTTCCTTTTAATCAAGTATAAGATAGGCAAAAACCTTTGATGAATTCCCAAGGTCCACTAAGACTAATAATCATCAAAAAGTTCCAAAAACTTACTCGAAAGGAAAAAAATAAAATGAAAAATAAATCCCTTGCCAAAAATAAATAAAAAACCGATTTTGAGATAAATCCCTCGAATGAACTTGAAATCACAAAATCGGTCGAGGATGTCAATTGAAACTTTCCCCCCTTTAATTATGAGCTCCGCAACAAGCGTGACTCGCTTGAACCTTTTCATACACGAGCCGCACGAATTCATCTCTTCTTCTCTCCTCTCCTTCCGTCCATGGACAGAGGTCCAAAATTTTTCGGATTTACTGACGCGACCGGCTGCGGCTCGGTGCGTAAACATGGGTGGATTACTAAGATTACACATTAGTCAGAGAGAAACACGTACAACCTGTCGACTTAAGTGGGGCTCATTCCGTGAAGGGACTCAACTCCTCCACTATAACAATTCCACTAATAATTTTGCGATTCACAAATCCCCTCACTTGTCCGGACCTAACGTGTCTGTTGAAATGTCGTCCAATGGTACAGATGTATTTCATACTTAACTGATAGAGTATAAGAACAATTATTACTTAAAACCTACCTACCGTCCAAAGCAAATGGTAAGCTCCCTTAAAAAAAAATCCATGTTTCAGATGAATCATGTTTCGAAAAAGTCTAACATGTGGTTATGGAAAAATGGGTCGACTGGTGAAACTGCAACCGACTTCAAGCCGACATCAGGGATAATAAGAAGGCACCGATTCACTGAGAGCATCGACCCGCAGCCGGTCGCGTCAGTAAATCCGAAAAAATTTTGGACCTCTGTCCATGGACGGATGGAGAGGAGAGAAGAAGAGATGAATTCGTGCGGCTCGTGTATGAAAAGGTACAAGCGAGTCACGCTTGTTGCGGAGCTCATAATTAAAGGGGGGAAAGTTTCAATTGACATCCTCGACCGATTTTGTGATTTCAAGTTCAATCGAGGGATTTATCTCAAAATCGTTTTTTATTTATT